GGTGCTGTGTGGCCAGTCAGCAGAGAGACAGGAACCACTCGGGCACTGTTCAGGCAGGAGCCATGCCCTTCTCCAACCCATGTCTGGCTCCAGAAGAGTGAGTGACTTCACCTGCCATTACTGAAATCTGAACGGTTTATGTTTCAGGGTATTCACTATCTGAAGTTGCACTTTTACAAAACTGTTTTTGGTATATAAAATCACCTTGATTTTAATACTAGTGATGAGCAGCGGTAAACACGGATGTTGCCATCCATGGAAAACCTATGTGTGTTGAGAAAGGCATTCTAGCACAAGTTTTTCTGGGCCCACGTCAATTAAAAGCTGGGACATGAAGCCTTAACAGATGGGTGAAAGAGACCCAAAATCTGGATAGGAAAGCCATCCCCATTCATCTTGCAGGTTAGCAGTATCAGAAACATCTTTGTGACCCCTAAGCGGGAAGATTCTCCACCATTGCAGAGTTGGAGAGGACCGTCTTTGTGTTTTTGCTTACAGAAAACAGAATATTTTCTTTAAATTAGGCAATGATTCTTTTTGTAAATGTACACTTTTGTGAAGTGGATTGAGAAGCCTGCCCAGGATAATTATGGGATGGTGCATGTAAAAAGAAATCTACTAAAGAGATCTACGATGTCTAACAAAAGGGTTTTTTTCCTTAGCATCTTCCTCCTGAGCAATGAACAACAATGTATGAAGTCCTGAGGAGGCCCCCTCCCTGGTCCCTTTCATGGTTTTAATTGGTTGACTTTAAGTCTACCAGCTATCCAGGCCAGCAGCTTGTTTTTTTTAAGCCATTCTACAAAAACTCAGAATAAAAGGGGCAGTGAAGTGACTATGGGTAACCCCCTTTTAGTTGTGTCTGTTCTGCCAGAATGATGGATGGGCTTCAGGTGTTCTGAACTCATGTCATCCCTGGAGGAGGCCCTGCTCTGGGTTTGTCCCTACAGTATTCCTTGACTGGGATGAGCCCCTGCAGCTCTGTGATAATTTCTCCTCTTTGGTCTTCATTGGCGAGCACCTCATTTATGCTAGCCTGAAAGGGGCTGCTACCATTTTGTGGCAGTGAGGGAAATGATATCAATTTGTACAACCAAAAGGAAATCGTCCTTTCCTGTGTGCTCCATGCAGATCACGTGGGATTACTCTGTGTGTCCCCCAGAGGTGGTTGCTTCTGTGATAAGGGGCCCTGCCCAAGCCTCCTTTGAGCTTATAGGCTGCAGCCTCAGGGCTTGGATACGCTGTCCCTTGTGTACATGTGTATGTGTTTGCTTTAAATGTGTGTCTGCTTTAAAACGCTGAACTTGTTGCATTCCATCTTCCTTTCAGTCACAAAGAGCCAAAGAAACTGGCAGGTGTCCACACCCTCCAGGCCAATGAGTTGGTCGTCACTTACTTTTTCTGTGGAGAAGAAATTCCATACAGGAGGATGCTGAAGGCTCAAAGCTTGACCCTGGGCCACTTTAAAGAGCAGCTGAGCAAAAAGGGAAATTACAGGTAAGAGTCCTATGGCTTTCTTCTGCTCCGGAGTTCGTGTGCTTAGAACCGAGAGCCGGAGCCCGGAGCGGCTCCCCTGGCCTGAGCAGGCCTGGGAGGGGCCGAGGAGGTGCTTGGGGAGGCAGCTAGGGGCTGCTGGGTACAGTTGGGCTCCTCGTTTCCTGTCCGCTCTGACCACTGACAGCAGTAACGCAGCAGCTGCCCTGAGAGGAAGGCTCCTTGGGGGGTTCTCTGGGGACCCGGCCAGGCTTTTTCCACCAGGTGAATAAGACCGAGGAGAAAAGGAGCCACTGTATACTCAGTCAGGAGAACTGGGTTTGAGGCTTGGTGTGGAGGCTCTGCCTGAAATTGAGGGACACGTGTTGAGGGGAGAGACAGACAAACTGATGAGGAGGGAGGGCCTGCGAGCACCTCTCTCTTCTGGGCTGGGGTTTGGGAGAGACTTCCACATTGAAGGCCCAGAAGAGCAGAGAGCATGGCTAGGAAGTGGCAGTGTTTCTCTTACTCCGCCTTTCTGCCTAAAGAGCTATCTCCGGGCATTCACGGGTCATCTGAAGCAGGGATGCGCCTTTGTCCATAACAAAGAAGGGGCCGGACTTGTGGGTGGGCTCAGGGTGAATAGAGCTAGCCACTCTTCCTGCCTGGGCCTCACTGTTTTCTCCTCCCTGCAGGGGCCTTGGGAAGGGAGCTTAACCTCTGGGCCTTCTTTCCTCATCTGCGGAGTGGAGGTGCCCTTGAGAAGGCCCCACACTGAGCTTGCAGGGCCCTTAAGAGGACTCCAGAGCTGAGGAGGGTGAGGGCCAGCCGTGGGCCAGTTCGCACACACTTCCCTCTTAATTCAGGCAGGGGATGACTCTACCTCAGCTCATCCAGAGTCCTCCCTGCCCCTTCTGCGTGGCTTTCATCCCAGGGAACACGTGGATGCTGCTCCAGTCAGATCTTGGGTTGCAGGGCACTGGGCTGGGACCGGGGGAGACAAGCGAAGGCACCCAGGGCAGCCAATCTATGGAGGTGCTCACTCTTGGGGTCTGTACCTGAGAGGGGGTGCCACTTCCTCGATGGTGTGCCTGGGCCCTGTGGGGGACCATAGTCCATGCCCTATAGTTGTCAACCCATCCCCACCTCCGGAGTCAGGAGACGGGAGTGGAGAACTCTGAGTAGCGCTTACACCTTCCAGGTGGGCACCAGCTCGCGCACATAGGTGAGTCCACCTGCTGAGAGCTGAGACACCCTCCCCCCAGAGCAGGCCCTGTGTAGCTTTGCCAGCTGCCTTCATCTGGGAGTTAGTTTGGGCAGGGCCAAAAGTGATTCCTTTTGCAGGAGGAAGGACGGAGGTTGGGCTGAGACCCTGTAGGTGATTGACTGGCAGGGCGTGTAGTTAGGCCTAGATCTTTCCCTTTTATACCTGGGCAGAGATGATCCTGAAAAGGTATCAAAGGGATTGGGGAACAGACCTGTCTTCTTTTTCTTCTTTTTTATCTTGAAAAGACACAAGGTGGAACTAATTACACAAGTGCGCTCCTCTAGGGATCCATTTTGGTCTCGGCTTTGACACGGCTGGACTTTGAGTGGAACTGCAGGTGACCTTCAGGGAGAAGAACCACGGAGCGCTGAGTATGGGCTCGCAGGGAAGGTGCCTCGCTCAGCCATTCTGGCCACATCTGGCTCTGATTTTTTTTTTCCTGAGGCACACTTAATAAGCCTGGCTTTGAAGCCCTGGCCTCCCCTTTAATGCACAAAGACTTGCACAAATGGTCGACTCTCAAATTCTTTCCTGATTGGATCAGGCTGTGGGAAGGCCCCTCCAGCCGCCTTATCTCTGCAGGGCCTGAGCTGGACTCGGTGTCCTCCTGGGGGTGGGGGCACAGGGTGTCATGCCTCACCCAGCAGGGCTGGTGCTCCAACGTCTCAATTTGCACCCCCCCCAATAAAAAAGCCCAGCAAGGTTGGGGCTGTGGAGTATGGGTGGGGGTTGGGGTGGGGACCTGGGATGCGTTGAGTAATCTCAACATGGCAGGGGTTCAAAAAGCAAACAGTCCCTCCAGACGTGCCAGACGCGATTGGTGCCAGATGTCAGAAGAAAGCAAAGTTTGCCACATAAAGCATGTTGCAGTGGAAAAGCCCGTTTCTTGGAGAAAATGAAGGCAGTGCAGCATGTTTGAAGTCCTGGGGGTGGGGCCAAGAGAGCCTTGCGCCTCTCCTCTCGGGAAGAGGCTGCAATTATGTAAAAGGTCCTTGCATGTTTGCCCAGAAAAGCCGTAGAAGCCCAGCTTGGGAAGCTCTAGTGGGGTTGGAGCTGGGCGCCGAGGGGTCTGAGGGTGGCATTGCGGCTCAAGCCTCTTATTTGGAAAAGTGACTTTTTCCTTGCTGTCCAGGGTCTTCTGTGCACAGGGCCCCTTCCCATTTTCTCACCGTCTCCGCTCAGGCTCCCCCAAACATTTTGACCCCCTGACATGAAGCGTTTTCAGCTGTGACCCATCCGAGCCATGTTGTTCACCCCATGCGTTAGCTCAGTCAGGAATGCTAAAAACAAAGGACCTTGACTAAACCCAGCTGTTTCACTTTATTTAGCCTTATCTCCTATGAAAGTATTTGGCTTGCCTTCATTAAAGAGGAAAAAAATTTAGCTCTAACCAAGGGGAGTTAATTTTTTTTTTTTTTAAGAGAAAAGACAAAAACAAAAACCAAGGGTAACCCTGAGACACAATGAAATGTTTTCAGGGGCTCTTCGCCCCCCAGGGGCTGTGACCTTCCCTCTGTGAGTGGCCTTTATGGGCTGGAAATGACAGCTTGCAGGGGTGAGTTTAATCCGGCCGAGGGGTCTCCCTTGCTGGGGACTGGGAAGGAAGAGGCCCTCAGCTTAATTTCCTCACAAGGGGTCTGGGGGTAGGCCTGGCCCGAGAGGACAGCAGTTGTTTCCAAACGTGACACTCCTGAGAGAGGCCGGGCATTTGCATTGGTACAATTAAACAGCCTTAGAAGAAAGAACGCTGGGGTGGGATAAAAGGAGCCTTTAATCAACGGGCATAATAGAAGGGCCTTTGGTGTTTGACCCTGGAGGGGCAGGCTGGGAGAGGAGGGAGATGAGAAGAGGGGAGGATGTCATGGGGGTGGTGCTGTCTGTTTGCATCCCGGGAAGCAGCATAGGGCTGGCCTGCCTCCTGCGTGCCTGCACTGGGGCTCGCTGGGAGTGTTGGCACTTGGGCACTGGAGCCCGCCGGGAGTGTTGGCACTTGGGCACTGGAGGGTGGGAAGGGCAGGAGGCCTCTGGGCTGATTAAACTGTCTGAAGTCTGCCTTCTGCAGACTCCTGCAGGCTCGGGTCCTGCAGGTTACAGGTTCAGGCTGGCTGAGCCTGGAGCTGAGTCCAGGGTCTCCTTGAGCCACGTTCTTGGCTGTTGCTCCAAATGAACTCAACACACTTGCCTTTCCCTTTCTCCCTCTATCCCCCTACCCCAAGAAAAAGTGGGGAGAGAAAGAAGCAACTCTGCTTCTCACAATGTCTGTGTTGGGTGACAGCGGAAGTTCTGGGCTGAAGACTGCAGCCTCAGTCGCTTGCAGGTGGCAGGTTCGGCCTAGGCCGCTGCCCAGAGGGTGCCCAGCCTTCCTCCCAGCCCTCCTGTTCTGTGTGGTCTGGCTAGCCCAGTTGCCGTCATAACTCAGATATGGGCAATAGTTTGCACACACGCCTGCCGTAGAGGATTCCGAAGAAACCTTAGTCCTCTGTGTTGGCATACTTTTCTTTTAAACAGTGTGAGAGGTGCATTTACCAAGAAGCTTTTCTGGTTTTCCTTCTAAGGTATTACTTCAAAAAAGCAAGCGACGAGTTTGCCTGTGGAGCAGTTTTCGAGGAGGTCTGGGACGACGAGACCGTGCTCCCGATGTACGAGGGCAGGATTCTGGGCAAAGTGGAGAGGATCGACTGAGCCCTGGGGTCTGGCCTTGGCAAACTGTGGAGCCCAGAGTTCTCGTCTTGGCTGTGAGCGACTGCCACAAAACACATTGAAGGAAAATTAAACCAATGAAGAAGACAAAGTCTAGGGAAGAATTGGCCAGTGGGCCTTCGGGAGGGTGGGGGGGGAGGTTGATTTTCATTATTCATGAGCTGGGTACTGAGATAAGAAAAGCCTGAACTATTTATTAACAACATGACCACTCTTGGCTATTGAAGATGCTGACTGTATTTGAGAGACTTCCATACATAATATATGACTTCCTAGGGATCTGAAATCCATAAACTAAGAGAAACTGTGTATAGCTTACCCGAACAGAAATCCTTACTGATATTTATTGAACAGTCAATTCCCATCCCCAGTTTATGGATATGCTGCTTTAAACGTGGAAGGTGGGGAGAGGAAGTTTTAATGTTCTATCTAAACTTAGGAGTTGAGCTAGGAGTGCGTTCATGATTTCTTCATTCAAAGAGAAATTATACTTTGCACTGCATTTCTCCAAGTAAAGACAGACTTTTAAAAATGGTACCCTACCACTGACACATGCAGAAATTGGTGCGTTTTCCCCCCATGCTGCTCTATTTTGTCTTAAAGGTCTTGAGGGTTGACCATGTTGCGACATCATCAACATTTAGGGGGTTGTCCTGTTGGGTGGGGTGACCCACTGCGGAGCAGGCAGGGGCAGCCTCATTGTTGGGGCCCCAGGTCCATCCTGTGACCGAGGTGCCACACCTTGTAGCCTCCCCCGAGGCCCAGGGCCGGGTGGCTGCGGCCTGCCAGAATCACTACCTTGTGGTTCAAGCTTGTGCTTTTATTGAAATGACAGTTTCTTGGGTTTTCTTGTTTGTGTTTTTTTTTTAACTAGTCTTTGGACCACAGCCATTCAGGAAACTGCCCCCTGCCCCGCACAGAAGCAAACAGTTGTGGGAGACCTAGCAGCACCTTTGCTCCAGACACCTTCACTTCCGTGTTCGGGTTCTCGTGGTAAGTTAATATGTGCATTCTGTTTGCCATCGTTCCTTGTACTACACGTCTGTATATAGTGTACGGCAAAAGAGTATTAATCCACTATCTCTAGTGCTTGACTTTAAATCAGTACAGTACCTGTACCTGCACGGTGGCCACTCCGTGTGTCGCCCTATATTGAGGGCTCAAGCTTTCCCTTGTTTTTTGAAAGGGGTTTATGTATAAATATATTTTATGCCTTTTTATTACAAGTCTTGTACTCAATGACTTTTGTCATGGCATTTTGTTCTACTTATACTGTAAATTATGCATTATAAAGAGTTCATTTAAGGAAAATTACTTGGTACAATAATTATTGTAATTAAGAGATGTAGCCTTTATTAAAATTTTATATTTTTGAAAACATTGGCCTCGTCTTTGAATCCTCTGGGTGGGAGCAGAGCCGAGGGCCCCTTTGGTATGTGAACATCTGTGCTCCATTTCCCACCTTGCTCCAGCCCATCCCTGAGCACAACCCCTTACCTGATGTGGACCTGCCCTCAGGTTTTGGAAAGCTGTTCCCTCAAAATCACTAGACTCCCGGCTGAGGCTTTGGTCACAGAGCAGGCTGTAGACAACAGCTCCTTGGAGGTGGTCTTCCCTCTACTGCCTACACTCAGCCTCTTCCTCCCAGGCACATTGGGTACGGTCCCAGCCAGGTAGTGAAGGTGATGCAGGGCTGAGATGGATCCTGCCAGGAGTGCTTGCATCTTAGTAGGTGTCTCAGAAGTGAGAAGCCCCTTGGAAAGTGGGTTTGCAGACCTGGAATGTCCATGAGGGGCCAGTGAACTGAAGGTCCATGCTAGCCAGCCACCGTCCCTCTTCTGTGATCTGATCAGCAAGGCCGATCATTAACTTCACCTGATCGATTTATTCCGGGCCATTGATGAGGCTCTGAGCTGGTAAGGTGCCCAGGAATAGCAAGCAGGTGGCTCAGGAGGAGGTGACAAATGCAGTTTCTGCACCGTTAAGTGGACAGCGTGCTTCGTGTGGCTGAGGCGGGTGGCAGGCAGTTGTCCACTCAACACTCATGTGCTCTCCCCCCGCGCTGAGCTCTCAGGATGCCAGACTGTACTTCAGATCTGGGAGAGCAGGTCTATTTACCTAAGTCCCAGGAAGAACTCTTGAAACATAAAGGTTCCATGATGGCAGTTGGCTTTGACTTCTTGTGTGCTGAGTTTTCATGAAATGGTCTGCAATGGATCTGATGGGCGTCAAGCTGAGAGGATAGAGCAAGGCTAGGGGCCTGGCCACATGGCGCAGGGATGGGCTTGACCTGAGCAGCCTCAGCACGGAGCAGCGTTCTAAGTGGTTGAGGCTGCGGGAGAGTCCAAGTCACCTTCTTCGAGAGGAGGCAAGGGTGTGTGGGAGCCGACGGGCCAGAGGAGGGCTCTGATTCCTTGAACTTGATCCCAATGATGCGGTTGCTGTACCCTTTCCCTCCTGGCTGGAATGGGGGCTCATAGCAGGGGTGTAAGGACTCGGGGCTCAGACAAACCCGGGCTCAAGTCCCAACACTGCACAGTCTGGGTGTCTGTGGGCAAGTACTTGGCATCTCAGCTGCATTTGTGAGAGAGAGCTGAGCTAGCCGATCACTCATGTTTCTACCTCTTTTGTTTTAATTTCCTTGTGGTAAGAACACTTAACATGAGATCTACTCTCTTAAATTTTTAAGTTACAACAGAGTATTGTTAACTACAGAGACAATGTTTTAGAGCGGGTATCTAGAACTTACTTCTCTTGCATAATTGAGACTTCATGCCATTGACCAGCAACTCATTACTGTCACCCTCCAGCCCCTGGCAGCTACCATTTTACTAAGAGTTTGACTATTTAGATGCCTCATGTAAGTGGAATCATGTCATCTTTGTCCTTCTGTGCCTGGCTTATTTCACTTAGCATAGTATCCTCTGGGTTCATCCATGTTGTCGAAAATGGCAGCACTTCCTTTCTTAAGGCTCAATAGCATTCCATTGTATGTATATCCCACATTTCCTTATCCATTCATCCATCCACTGACACTTCACATCTTGGCTATTGTGAACAGTGCCGCAGTAAACATGGGAGCGCTACTATCTCTTCAAGATTCTGATTTCCATTCTTTTTGACGAATACCCAGAAGTTGGATTGCTGGATCATATGTTACTTTGAAGAAGATTTTGCGGAATCTCCATACTATTTTCCATAACAGTCGGACCACTTTGCATTCCCATTAGCGGTATACAAGAGTTCCAATTTCTCCACATCCTCCTCAACACTTGCTGTCTTTTGTTTTTTGAAAATAGCCATCCTAATAGGTATGAGTTGATACCTCATTGTTTTGATTTGCATTTCCCTGATGCTTAGTGATGTTGAGCATCTTTTCATATAGCTGTTGGCCATTTGTATGTCTTCTTTGGAGAAATGTCTATTAAGTCTTTAGCCCATTTTCAAGTTGGGTTATTAGATTTCTTGTTGTTGAGTTGGAGGAGTTCCTTTTATGCTTTGGAATGATACACTGCTACCTCTTCTAAGAGGGGCCCATTCCTCTGCTGCTCTCGCATTTTAACAATTAGAGGCTCTTAATCTAACGTGGATGTGCTTCTGGGATTTGTGAGCTCTTGAAATTGTTTGCAGAACCGTCTGTGCCTGCTTTCCTGTGAGGTGAGGGTCTATAGTTTTATTAGATTCTTAAAGGGATCTATTCCTCAAAAGAAGATGCTAAAACCCTGTCAGTTCCCTCCCTTCCCTGTCCCCAAATCATTTAAGATCCAGCTCTTCCAGAAACCCTTCCTCCCTCCTCCAGCCCTCACCAGTGTGGTCTGAGGACTCCCGGCACTGGCCTCACCTGGGAGCTTGGGAGCGCTCCAGTCCCACCTCCTGCCCGGATGGCCAGGATCTGCGTGTCCCCACCTCTCCAGGTGATTTGTGTGTTGCTCCATCCCTCTCTGACCTTCCCCTTTCTAAACTCCTCTGGCTTCCACCCGGATTCATGTAGTTTAGTCTTCATTTCCTGGGCTCTTCCCCGTGCCCCGGCCTTATCTATCAGATTAATTCTTAACCAGATAATTAGAGGTCAAGAGCAGACTGGGTTGGGCAGACCTGGGTTTGTGTCTACTTGGAGCTGTGTCATGTTGGGAGCCACCGTTCCTCACCTATTCAATGAGGATCATAAATGTGTCCTCTTTCTAGAGTTGCTGCGAGGACCTCTCCCAGGGCCTCCCCACTTGTTATTCACTCCTCGTGTGGCAATTCCCCATTCCCACCCACCCTTCCTGCCGCACCGTGGGGTGGGGGGCTGCATCCTGCCCTCTTGCCCCCGGCTCAGAACCAAGAAGGTAGAGGGCGAATGGGTTTGCAGGTTGCTTGATTTGAAAACAGACTGTCAGCTGGAGCCAACCTTTGGCCCCCAAAGCATCTTTAAATTTTTCTCTGTCAAGTCCAGGACCTCACACAGTACTTGGAAATTCTATGTGACTCTGACCCAGGGTGACAGTTTGTGTGGAAGGGTTTGAAATGTGGGGCTTTGGAGAAAAGATCCGGTTTTATTCTCCCCACCCCAGAAAATGTTGAGACTGTAATCATGCTGTCAAAGAGAAGGAAATTGGCAATTACCCCCAAGAAAATATTACAGTCTATTTGAAAAATTGGGTAAAGTTGTTTTTGTTTTTTGAAGAAAAATGTTTCTCTTTTTTTACCTTTAGTATATAATTTGGCTGTACAAAAACTCCCCAAATTACATAGAAGGTTCGTAAGAGTGAATGACATCCTTCTCAGCAATTATTACTTTATCAACCACATTTCCTAGAAATCCGATATGAAAGTGAGCCTCTACTCTAAGGAAGTGGGTGGTAGCAATTTGGTTTAAAAACAAATACTAAAGCACCGTCACCACCACCACCAAAAAAAGCCATTTTGGTAAATGTTGGTTATTACCAGAATTATCTCAGGGAGCCTCCTGCTGGGTAAAGTCTCTGGGCCCAAACAGG